AATTTTCTTTATATTGCTGTGCTCACGTGGCACTGCTGGAATGCCCTCTGTTGCTAACATTCAGCAAATGGTGCTAAGGGGAGGTTTCATCAAGCAGTTTACCTTTAGATCTTTCACTTGCTGTTGTGTTTGGGCCCGTGGAAGGACCTTTGTTCAGGTATCAGAGGCTGCTTCCCACTTATTCCAGTGGATTAAGTCTGGTCCTGGTGTGGATGGTACGTTTTTTGGAGAGACCATTAGTGAGACACAGGTCACAACTACAGGCAGTTTCTGTTTAGTGGAGTCTTCAGCTAACCTGGGTTACCAGGGCACAGTAAAATCCAAATAGAGTGTCTGTTCTTGGTAATAACAAGGGCTCTGCATACTGAGGTCTAGAGAGAGAATCCTTAACTGAGTTCTTCAGCTGTAAACTGTGACCCAAAGCAGTGAGAGAAAGCTTAATGGGGCATCTAGCCTGACACCTTTATTGAAAAGGAAATTATTTCTGAAACATTACTGGGCGGAACTCTTCCTTACTAATGTGTGGTGTTTGCTGCAGAGTATTGTGTGTGGTTTTTTCCCATTTTTATTTTGATTGAGGCCCAATTCATCAAGTCTCCAAATGAACTTGTATGAGAGAAGACTTGTCTGAGAACGTGGAACTTGAAGTAAACCTGTTACAGTTATGTTGCTAAAAACCAAAATGAGTCCAAAAACCAACAATCTGGTCCGCTGGTATTCAAAAACCTTTTATTAATTAATTGCAGAAGCAGAATCATTGTCACGTTTAATGGGAAATATTTTAAGTTATGTAATACTCTGAGGAGTAACATCTTAACCAGGTGGTTGGTTACTCCTCAAGGGGGGCAGTGATAAGCCTCAGGTGTACCAGGTGGAGCTGATTTTGTTAAATCAGGAGTGATTATGGCATTAGTGGAATACTGGGTGATTCAGTTCTGCAGAAAATGGAAGGAAATAGAGACCTGCACAATTAAGAGAAGTACAAAAGGAGCCAAAAGGAGTGAAGAGACTTGCAGGTGTGTAGTGCCCCAGAGTAGTTAATTTAGCAGACTCAAGAATCCTTCTAGAAAAGTGCAAGGGGAAAAGCTAAGAGAGACAGGGAAAGCAACATATATTAAATAGATTGTTGAGTAGAGTTTTTAGCTTCATCTTCACAAAAGTAAAAACTAATAAAAGTTGAGAGTGTAAATTTTGACCTAAAGTATTACTATTTGAGTTGATCTGGAAAGAAATTAAGTTTTATGGTAGAAAATGGACTGGAAAACAAGCAACATTGTGATGTTACTTTATTGCCCACTGGAGGTAAGTTTTCAGTCTAGAGCAATGTGTTTTTTCAAATATTCTAGTCAATGTAGTTTTATCAAGCTCATAAAAATGCATTTAGTAATCCTAAATGCATATAAAAATGCAGCAATGACTAGAAGACATACATACATCAATATAGCTGTTCCCTTGAAAAAGTATAGTCAATATTTAATGTTGACCTTTATAGTTTTTTCATGGCTCTTTTTTTTGTATGAACAGTCATTTTCCTCAGAAGACTTTTTAAGGCTTCATTAGTAAAGCCAGTGGTAGAAACTTCAAATGCATTGTAAACTTGCAGAAAGTATTTCTGTATACCACAAAACTGGAAACAAAGAATATGGAAGTAGCTTTTTCACTTACAGTTTGAGGAGAGCAGGGAGTTACAATCAGTTTACAGAGAGTACATAATTTATATCAAAAGCTATGTTGACTGCTGTAATGCTGAAATTTAAATGTTATTTCTCAGCTCAGTATTCAGTTGCTCTCCTACAAATGAAATACCTTCCAATTTGTGATTATTCAGGATTAACCAAACAGAACAAACCACAACAAAACAACAACATAACAACAACAAATGAAAAAAACTCCAGCAAAAAAACCCTCACAAAATTATCAGTCAGTATTTTAAACTTTCTAGTAAAGACTACATTTGAAATCTTGTGACAAACAATGTAAATTTTCTTGAAATTTGAAGCATGTCAGTTTTTATTTTAGACATATCACTGGTTTTCCTTGCTTTGATTTAGAGTATATTACAAAACCACTTAAATATCAACAGAGCATTTGTTATCCAAGGCTATACTGAGAATTTCCATAGGATTACCAATGGGAGGGATTGGGTTGCCAGAGAGTTCTTTAAGTATGTTAAAAATATTACAAAGAACAGACTTTGGGCTTCCCTGCAGAGTGGTGAAGGACCCAGTAAACTTTAGGTTAGACAGAGCTTTGGAGGGTCTTTCCTCAGCAAAAGATTTTCTTGACAGGAAGGATTTACTATGAAGAAGAGGAAGTTCATGGAATTAACAACTTACTGTAAATTGCTAACAATAAGTGAATTAGGATAAAATAATGTAAAGAAACTCAGCTTCTATGGGTGGAGCAAGAGGGATCACATCCAAAGAACATGTTGCTTCATTTAGTACAATTTATAGAAGAGGAATTTAGTTCATTGGTAGACAGTCTGTTCCCAAGCAAATACTTATTTTTGGGAGTTAATGCAGTGAATTTGACTGAAAAAAATCCTTGGGGGTACATTTAGTTCTTACTGTGAAGTGTGAACAATAGAACAGTAAAGCTGTTCTCAGCTGAGAATGAAACAGGTGGTGAGGCAATGCAGTGATTATTTACACTTTTACTACTTTAAAATCTCACTTTTGCATTTGGCTTTGCATTTGTGTTCTCACCTTGGAGTTAACTCTGAACCACTATCTTGCATTTGTGACATTTAATGTAAATAGTACAAACCTCCGTTTGCTGTTGGAAAGTTGCCTGGCATAAATTTCTAATCCTTAGTTGGCTGCTTGTGCTTTGAGAATGGTGTTATGAATTGGGTCATCACCAAGGAATACCTACAGCTGAGCTGAAGAATCAGGAGGGGAAGCATAAAAATCAGAAGGAGTTTTTCCTCTCTCTATAAAAAAGCATCATGGTTGTTGACTTAAAATAAAAGGGAATACTTGTGGACTAAGAGATCCTTCCCAAACTGAGCGTGCTTTGTCAGAAAAGAGCCATGCTTTTTTACCCTTCTGATTTTCAACATGGTCTGGTAACATACACATAATTTGTCTCCAGATGCTAATGGGCTCTATAGAGCCATTGGCATGGATTGGTTTAGAGTTCATTCTCATATTTTGAAGAACTCTGCATGATCTCTGCAAGCCTGTTTTAACCTAATTTATTATTCTGTGACTCTCTGACACAATTTAAATCAAGGGCTGCATTTGTGCTGAAATGTTGGAGCCAGTGCAACTGGGAAACAGGATAAAAAGTTGTTCTAAACTGTCTCTGTATCTGCCTTGCTGATCAAGACAGGGATAAAACAGTTATTGCTTACAGCAGAGAACTCAATCTTAAAACTGTTCTTACTGATAAACAGGAGCTGTGTATCCCACATGTTTGCAGTGGATCCTAAGGAATGAAGACTATCTTGTCTGGGAACTGTGAAATGGAATTTGAAAAACCTGAGGAACCTTATGCTAAAGAGAAAAAGACTGCTGAGGGTTTATTTTATCCTGGTGGAATGGCTGTTATTGCCCTTTTTTTTTTTTTTTACCATTGAATTGTTGCTGCTTTAGGCATAGAGAAGCTCTTTCAGAAATAGATCAATAACATTTGCACCGGGCCTTGTTCTTTGTTTGTTTAGGGGGGTGTAGTAATGAAGTGTGAATGAATGCAGTGTGACATTAGGGATACAGAAGCGGCTCAGTGACTAGGGCAAAGGAATGAAAATATTCAAACCAACGTGAATTAGTTTTTGGGGACCAATAGTGAAAACCTCTGACCTTCAATCCAAAGAAAAATAACTGATTTTTTTTTTTTGGAGGGGAGGGAATAGCATCTTTTAGAGTTGTATTGTGATGACACCAAATCATCTATTGGTAGTTTAGGGTGAAGAGTCAGGAGGGGAAGCATAGAATCAATCCCGTTTTTTTTCAGATACTGCATAAAAAAACCAACCCATGGCAGTTTGCTTCAAAAAAGAGGGGATACAGTGTCAATGCATCTATGCAAACTGGATTTCTTCAGTCTTAACCGTTCTTTTGTATGTGGTCAAGATAATGCATCCCACAGGTAGGGAATCAGTGAGTTCTGTTGGAATACCAGGGATAGGTGCATGGAGTATTTACATGTAGGCAGAGGTGACTGTAGAAGGCCCTGCATTCTGGACCTCATCCACTTCACAAAGGATCTTACTCAGTCACTTCTGACTTTGCAATAGGACAAGTAATTAATTTGTCTTTAATTAATTTAATTAATTAATTAAACTGTTGATGTTCAGTTGCAGTGAGTGAAGCAAGTGCTGTTTTTCCTTAATCTGTTTAAACTTGTGGAACTGTGGAGCATCACGGAAGAGGTTTTTACTCTAAAGGAAGATGGATCTCCGTGGTGTATAGTAAAATAAACCAGAAGATAGACTTGTTCTTTCACAGATTTCAAGTTTCCATCTGCATTTACAGTGTCAGCTGCACTGATGTGACTATTCCAGTAGAAAACCGTACCTCTAATTAAAGGAATGATCTGTGGATAGCTCAGGGCATGTGTTTCGTTACAACAAATAAAGGTAAATGTTGTTTGAGCTTTAAGGTCTTAAAAATAAGTTTAAAAAAAAAAAAGTTAAAAAGCTGGACCTGGTTTGAAGGGCTCTGAAAAATTAACAGGTGAGATCACAAGCAACCTTAGCTGAAGCCTTAGGTTCTTACTTTGAAATTTCCTCATGTAATCTAAACAACACCCTGCAGCTGTTACCTGGTGAACCTCAACTGGGATGAGATCATGAGATTTCATGTCATTGTCACCCCTTTCCACTGCTCTTTTTTCACCCTAGTGTTTCCTTGTTCAAGTATGTCCTTTGAAAAATTATTTTCCAAAAACAAGGGCTTTCTAGCAGAGATGGTTTTTGGCAAGTTTGAGGGTTTGGGGATACATGCTTGCTTAAAAGGCTCTTTGTTTATTGAAGTTTGTTTCTTTTGTTTAAGGTTGCTCATCTTGCTTGTTCATTGTCAACAAATGAAGATGGAACGAAAATTGTCCAGATGGCAGCTAATCACATAGAGACCTTGTGCCCACAGGTAGGACTTTTTCAATTAATTCCCATTACAGCTCACTGACCATGCAGTGTATTGTCCCACAACGTAGATGTTTAGCTGTACTTATTTAGTCTAAATTCACATTCCATTTATACAGTTCAGTGCAGCAAATGGAGACCAAATGGCAAATCCAGGGCACATACTCAATTTGTTTTCTCTTTGTGCTTAACATAGGAATGGTTGATAGTCTGTGTTGATTGGGAGTTCAGAAAAGCTATGAAAGTTACAATTGCAGAAATATGCTGCTCTCTTTCTGAAATCCAACCTGTTTGAATGAACATTGTAATGTGATAGGCAGATTTGGAACGTTTTTACACTTAGAAAACAATACCTGTTTTGACCTTTAACTTAAAATACACAAAACCCCAATCAAGTAATAGTATGTGAACAGCAAAGGATGAATTCTTCTGATTATCACCAATTTAAAAGATCAAACCTTTGTTTTAAGGAAACGAATGAAAAAAAGGCACAGCTACAGATTTATTCTACAAAATTTATTCACTCTTGGTTTGTCATGTTCAGTATTATAGAGATATAAAAGCCTCTGCAGTTAGATCTGTTTAGAGCAAAGATTTTAGGGATTTCTGTGAATCTGATCTGTGAGTTTCAGTTCTTTGGAGAACACTGTGGTTTACATGGTGGCCTAAGTCTTCTCACCCTTTTGTCCTAAATGTGGTGGAAATAAAAGATGAAGAGTAAATATTAATAATATGTTCAATAGCAAGCTTGAGAAGTCCATTTTATCCTGTTGAATAACTGCAAGTCTTGGAGAAAGGAGGTTCTATTGAGGAAATGAGATGTTCTGAAAAAAACGCAGACCAGTGTTTTCTCTTGAGTCATTCAGGTTCAGTGCCTTGTTCTTAAACTTGAACCATTCTGTGTTTCACATGCCAGCTTCTTTGTTTCTCCAGGGGTTCAGGTGCACCTTTGCAATGGATTATTATGTATCCAATTCAGCTTTTTAATTGAAATTGAAACCTACACTTTCAGGGTATCACATCTGATACCAGAAACTCCTAAAATCTAATTTTGACTAAAATATTGATTTTTCTCCACAGCCATTTAAGTTTCTGGGCTTTTAATTTCCTGTGGTAAAATGGAAGTTTCTTGGTTTTTTTTTTTTTTTTTTTTGTTTAACCTAGAGGTAAACCAGGGATGAATTGGTTGATGATTATAGATCTGTCTAAAAAGAGAATGTGGTATGCACGTGATAAGATTATGTAGCTAATGGTGTGTTCATTGTGCAGGATTTGCTGCTTTCTTAGATAAGGACCATGCCCTGTGAAAGCAATTCATATTTTACCTAAGTAAGAAATAACAGATTCGGGCTCCTGCATTTTTCAATAAATCAGATTATACCATATCAGTTAAAAACCTTCCATAGGGAAAATAATTATCTCTTAAGTTGCCTGTGAGGCTTATCAGAGTTCAGAATGGGGAAATTCTTGTGTAGAACTCCCCAATGTTCTTAAATCTTTAGAGTCAAAAACTTGGTATTTTATGTGTTCTGAAAGATATATTTCTTGAAGAGAAACATGTGGTTGGGATTGAAATCTGAAATAGTAGAATTAAAACAGAACCTCCCCACCCCAAACACCACAAACATACCAACCAAAAAAAATCCAGCAACAAAGGCAACACCTACGGAAAACACCTGGGAGTCCTGGGAGTTCTGCAGATTTGACCAGCAGAAGTCCCCATGGAACACAGGGGGAAAGGCAGATGCAGAACTGGCAAACCTTGGGGGAAAGCCTTGTTACTTTTGTTACACTAATCAGATTCTACTGTAGTGAAATTATTAGTGAATATTTGATTGTTCAATAAATGGAATAAACTAGTGTGTGCGTTAGAGGCAATGCAAAACACATAATGCCTGTTCCTGGAATTTCATGAATACCTCATGAGAAATGAGTTTAATATTAATCTTACATCAATAATCGTAGAATAAAGAAATAAAGAGCTGCTAGCATAGGATTTGATGAAGGAAGAATTATTTCTCTCCGTTTAACTCGCTTTTGACTGGGAGAATTTTCTTCAGTTTTGTCAGGTAAATAAAATCTACGATGTCACTTGTTGTAGGTGGGAGCCCATATTACTTTCCTGGTGTGGAAACAACATCTTGACTCGTGAAAGAAAGAGAAGAAAAAGAACCCACAAAAGCAAACAGCAAGATTATTAATCTGTAGAGCTGTTTTGCTAATATCCATTTGGGGTTTGGTACTATTATGCTTCAGTTCAGTGGCATGTTTGAAGAGGACTCTGGTTCCTCTAACAGTTAGTCCTCTGGAATACCTGATAGAGGGTAAATATAGAGATGGAAAATGATCCAAAATGTGGGAAACCAGAGATTAGCAGTCAAGCATCTGGCTTCTCTATCTAAATTATAGGGTTTTTTACATTTTTATGGTCTGAGTCTGATCAGCTTCCAGATGGTCCAACATGTATGCTTGGCACATCAGGCCTTAGATATGTGAATTTTAGGCTCACATTCTTTCAATGTGGGATCTCACTGGAGCTTGCTGATGGTTACTAAAGTGGTGCAGGGTGATTAGTGTCAATTTTGGAGTGTCATAAAAGGATGGAAAATGCAGGAAAAGCACATGAATGTTCATGGTTTAGCTTAACCTTTATGTGATGATATACAAATGTTTAGAAGTCATTCAATTCCATGCAGTATTTTTATCAGATATTTTAAAAAGAGGAGGTATGGACTGATATAAGCAGAACCTTGGATATTAGTCTTTTTACCTGAGTTCTGTTTTCCTCTTAAGTATTGAGAAAGAGAGATGGAAATCATCTGATTATAATGTTATTAGGTGAGAAGCAATTCTGTGGATCATGTAACTAATGAGAAGCATGTAACACTTGGCACATTTGTGGAAGATACAGCTCTAATTTTCATTGCCATCTTTCCTTGCTGCTTAGAGCTTAATATGCTGCTAGTAATTTTTAAAACTGCTTGCTGTGTGATAAACCACTAAATATAGAAGCTGATTTTTTGGCTGTGGGAGTTTGTAAATAAATCAGTGTGGTTTTTCAGGTAACATTGAGACAGGTATTAGGATAAGCAAGATGCTGAGCTGATCAGTGGGAATATATTTATACATATCATATTTCTAGGCCATTGAAATACTGATCTGACAGCTGTGTTGAACATCTTATATTTGGCTTGTCCAGCATAATCCATCTGTTTCTTCAGTGCCAACAGGACAGTCTGGAACTGACTGCTGTATTTTGGTGTTACAGATCTGTTTATTGACACACCTGTACCTGCAGGGAGGAGAATGGCAAAAACTGCCCAGATTCCTTGCAAGAAACCAGACCCTGCAGATTTCCTTTCTTTGAATTTTAATAATTTCAGCATTGTTGTAGTCATGTCTCTCTAGCAGACAGTAATAAGCATATCACATATTTTTTTAGGATCATATGAAATGGTCTGTTTATCAGTAAATTCAGAAATATGAAAGAACAATGAGCTGAGGAGCTGACAGTGTTTTTCAGAGAGTGTGTGTATGTTTGTCTGTAGAAGAGATCCAGGCAAAGCATCTCCATTCCAGTCCACCAGCTGCTTGTACTCTCTTCTCTTCCAGGAAAAGTACATTACATTGATTACACCTGCAATTTTCTGCCTTCAGTAGCCCAAACAGTGACAGCAACATGCCCCACACACGCCAGAGTCTACCCTGAGAATCCACCTTTCCAAGCAGGGCTTGTGTGTTCTCTGCTTTCTTTCTCAAAAATTGGTCATAACTTTGTTATGCTTCCTGTAAGTTTTTGCTCAAGCTTTAAATGTAAATGTCCTATAATTTTTTTTTTTTTTGGTGTGAATTAAACATTGCATGTCTTTTTCCATTATAAAAATGAGTGGAGGAATTGAGTCTTTCCTTTGAGCTATGTTTTGATTTGCACTTAAATTGTTTAGCCCTTTCGTGTTGATACAGATAAATGGATATTATTTCCTTCTGTGTTATTTTCTAGAAAGTATGTACCGAACAAACCTGAAATTCTTGTTCGCAAAAATGAGACTTGATAGCTATTGCATTTTTTAGGTACTGAAGTTTAATTATGTGTTTTATGATGCTGTGGATTTTTGAAGCTAGCAATTCACATTTTCTATATATTTACTTTTTCATGAGAGAAAGATCAATCATCCATTTTGTTATTTATGCTGGTACATGAAATAGTGGGGGGCACTGAAGAATTTTTTTATTAGTTTCATAAAAACTCTTCACCAATATCACTTCAATAACCACAGTTTCATCATCTTGGTTGAACTGCCTGTGTGGCATCTCCTTTTATCTGTCTTACGACTATTTTCTGGGGAAGTATGGGGGAAAAGTAATGGAGGAGAACATGGTAAATCAGTGAGTTCTCTACCATTTGCTTTAAAAGACAAAAACTGGATGTTAATATCCAACAATATCAGACATTTTATTAGGTACCACCTCCAGCCTTTCAGTTGAGAGATTACTAAGGCACAATAGATACTTTTAATTAATGCCACTGTCAGCTCAGCCTGGCATTCATGGCATTAGTCTGCAGTGCCACCAAAAGCAGTGGCTGCTCTTCCTCTAGACTCCTGCTTATCCCTTCCCTTGAGCCAGCCAAGAGTGCTCATGCATCCATACAACAACCGCACCAGGAGCTGACTCGAATGAAAACTAACCTTCTTGCTTCCCAGGGTAATTCTCAGCTGCATCAGTTTTCTGATCCAGACATTAGGAGTTGCAGTTTGTTCTCTCTGTTCATGGAAACTGAGGTTTGCTGTTTCAAAAAGCTGATGAAGCCTGGGGCAGTTTCAGGTGATTGGGATGCTATGGAATCCTAAAGCTATGGGACACCGAAATGTATTGGAAGGCATAGTGCTTTATTCTTTGGTACAAATAGACTTAGCTAGATGTTTGCTTTGGCTTGAACTTCTCCAATAAACAGTTTGAAGGAGGGGAAAAAACCCTGCTGTGACTCTTGGAGGATTCCCCTGA